TCAAAATGAGCTTAATATTAATAGGTTATTTTTCAGTGAAAACTACTCGTTTTTCGCCATGCGATCTTCAGTACATTGAGTGAAGCAAAATTTCGAAACCTCAAATGGAGCTTCAGTTTCTGAACCAATTGACATTCAGATTGATGTCTCTATGCATAAGCCTTAGTAATTAAGTACGAGAAATTTTTATTTCCTGTTACGACCGAAATATTTTCCACACAAATATTGCCCATTATCAGTTTTTTTTTATATTTTAACCATAGGACATTAGATTTTTAAACGTCAATATTTTACTTTGTTAAATTAAAAGTCAAAAAAGTCTAAAATTATTTTCAAATAAATTCACTTTTGATAATACATAATGATTATTAATGGCACCCCGATCTAGATACGCTTTTAAGTTGATCTGAGTTTGAATTTAAATTTGTTAAACAAAAAATAATTTTTTTATTTTTGTAATAATTTTTGAAAAAAAAAACATATGAACGTTTGTAAAATTTGTTGTAAAAATTATTTTCTATTTACATTTATATTTCTTTTTTTTTTTTGAAAATTAACAAAATGAAAGCACTCATATAAAACTCACCACCGGCTTACTTCATTAAGAATACTGTTAAAACCGACTCTGTATAAAATACACCTCTAGCGTACTAAAAATTTCTCGTGCGCTACAAAATTCAAACCAACCGAAAATCATGCTTCTCAACATACACACTCCCGCATACGCTGACAAACAGATGAGTAAATGCATAAAAAGCAATGAAGAGTCAGCAACAAACGAACTGACACCAACTCAGCGAATGTGGCTTTGGCTTTCGTTTTAGCACTGACTACAGCCTTGGCTTGGTCTATCTCTGTGGTTATGACTACACCACTGACTTTGCGGCAAATGCTGCTGTCATTGAGTTGGTTGGTTGGTTTGGTTGGTTGTCGGGCTTCACTCTATAGTTTGCATATCACTTTGGTGTATTCCGCATGCTCCGATTGCTAAACTGGCTGCCTTGGGCAAATTCTATATGACTATTATATGCAGTTTACTACCAGCAAATATTTGTTGTCTGTGTTTCAATTTTCTACATTCAGTTTTATTATTTCATTCATTTATTATTTTTGTTTTTTTTTCAGCGTTAAATTTGGATTTTTTGCTCGCGGCTAAAAGTTTTGATTGCCAGTATTATAGATGCTAACGCTGCGTGTAGTGAAAATAAGTGGCAAATGGAAAAATATGACAGACAGCAGTTTGTGAGGTAATGCGCTCACCTACACACAAACTAGCATATACATACATGTATATGCTTGCATGGCGAAATTTATTTATAAGTATATCAATAACTTTATATTTGTATGTGTTTGCATGGAGATCCATCGCTAGACGGCGTGGGTAATGTTTGGGAAAACATCAGCATGACGTTCAAATTCACGTTCAAATATCACAGTTTTCTCTACAATAAAAGTTTAATATTTTTTTTCAAAAAAGTTTTCCTAATTTATTTCTCTCTCTCATTATATATTTTCTTAAATTTTTTATTTAATATAATGATAACTTTTTTTTATATAATATTTAATTAAGTATTCAGCCTGCAATTCACTTTTACGAACCGAATTATGCATTTGAAACAAAAAAATTTTGATTTTAAATTTATACCGTAAAAGTTTATACATAAATTCATTAACTTTTAAATAAGTTTCAGGTCTCTATGTCAATAAGATTTAACTTCATTTTCTTCATATGAGTTGAGATGACGTGTTTGTTTTTTTAAGCCTCTTGAACCCACATGGCGTAGCTCAACCAGTCAACCGAAATATTATATCTCGTAAAAGCGATATGGAGTGGGCCTTTGTACTGGACCTTCAGTTGGGACTAATTAATTTGGGGAAGATCCAATGTTGTTGTGGGCCTTAGCTCAAACTGTTTTATTAAACAGTTAAACTTTTAAATCTTGATGACTTGAAAACCAACCTTCGTCAAGTTATGACTAAAATATGACCAAATATACGCCAGCAAGTGATCGAGAATACCTTAGCGTTCATTTGAATGATTTAGTGCTTCACATTTGATGTTAAAATAATAACTTAATAATAGGAAATAAATTTCATAAAAATTATTTTAATTTCATTTTATTTGCGTTTATTTTTGAAACCGCAAAATAGATAATACTGTCTACGTACATATGCCGGTTTAATGATTGTTCAAAAATAATATTTTGGTTATATTTAATAATTACTTCAAAAACAAAGGAGCTCAAAATTTGCGAGTAAATATTAAGTATTCATTATTGCATGAATTGAATTATTTCAGGTATTAAGAATATATAAATAATAGTCTAAACATATGCTGCAAGTACTCAGATCAAAAATTTATTGGAATATTCCTATTTTAATATGCAAATATATGAATGTACGTATGTGCATATACTACAACTATGACCTCTGCTTTCAGTTAATTTACTGTTAAGAAAGAATGTATGTATATCTCCGGTCTTGCGAAAGTCTTTATACCTTTCCTAAACTTTCAAATTTATTACAAAATGTTTTCAATACTAATATTTATTTCTGTGTACGTAATATAAAAAATTTCTTGTTTCTAGGTATTTCTATGACCAATTTTTAAGCCTTAACCTGATCTCCGAACTAATTGCTTGTATGGATTTGTTTGGTTGCTTATTCTTCCTGTTTCGATAATAATCTTACCCACATACAATGCATTATGCTTTTTTGACGGAGGTCCATCCAAATATTCATATCTGAACAAATAGTCCTGTCACCATATTCCATACTCTAAGATATGCAGTCAAAGACAAAAGTTTAAATACACCTGTAAAATTCCACTTTTTATTAAAATTAAGCATTTTAGATTAAATGTAAGAATGCAGTTTTTTTTAAAGTAGATAATTAATCAACAATACAATCCAAAAAAATATTCAAAGTTGCGTAGGTAACGATAATTTCATTAAAAACATGAAATTACGTGGGACAAAAGGTTAAATACAACCAAAAAATAATACCTATCGCATGTGCCTTGCAAGTTCTTTAGCAATAAAGTACCGTTTTATTCAATGATTTAGGAACCTATAAACATTTACCCGGAATTTAATGCTACTTTTCGTTAACAGTGAATGCAAAGTAAAGAAAATGGGTAAATTTTAAAACAGGTTGTGCTAAAAACTTAATGATTAAACACTTTCAAGAAGGAAAATCTTGATAATCCTTATGCGAGTGTGCAAATATTGTTGGAAAGTAAAAACCTACAAATCTGTTTGAAATAGGCCAAGATCTATGCGTGCAAGGAAGCTATCCTGGAGACACGTTAGTTTTATCGCCAAGAAAGTGACAAAAAATCCTACATTAAGTGCTCCAAAGTTAACAGCATCGTTAAAATATTGGTCAAAAATATACGCCCAAAAAATAAAGCAAGAAGTTTACAGGAAGATAGCAATCGAAGCAGAGTTCCACGTAAAAAGCCTCTAATAACTTAAAAAAGTAAGCAACTACGTCTTTAATTGACAAATAAATACAAGGATAATGAGGAATTATTTTGGAGAACACTCCTCTTTACGGGCGGATCGAAATTTAAGTATTCGGAAGCGTTGGCTGTGAAAAAATTTGGCATAAAGCATTTAACGTATATCGATAAAATAATGAAAACATGTGCTTACAAAAGTATTTTGAATCAACAAAGACAGTCTTCCGTGGATTTCTTTGGTCTCGGAAGTTCGTGGATATTTCAACAAGACAACGCACCTAACCATACAGTTGGCTTGGATAAGGAATGACTAAAGTGGTTTGCTCCTCGTCAGCTTTATAGTCCGCCGCAATCATAAGACTTGAACCCTGATGAGCATATTTGGGATTAATTAGCACGAAAAATTGCTATGACAGCTTCAACCAGCAAATAAGCTTTGGAAGAAAACCTGAAGAAGGTATAATCTGAAAATACGCCATCGGAAAGAGACAATTTGTTTGAATCTACCCCACGTCGTCTAAAGGCAGTTGTAGAAGCATGAGGTGGGCCAAGTAAATATTAAAATTCTCTTAAACTCCTTTATTTTTAGTTCACTTTAGTCGAAGTTTGAAATAATATGTATTGTATTTAAACTTTTGTACCACGTGATCTCATGTTTTCAATGAATTTACCGTTATCTGCACTTGAATATTTTTGAATATTTTCTTTGGATTGTATTGCTGAACAGATTTTCTATGGTCTGTGCGTGTTAGATGAGATCTAATAATATATCTTAAATTTTAATTTTCTTCACTAATTTTTAGCGACCACTATCTGTGTATAATGGAGGCTAAAATTTAAAGCTTGTCATTTTTTTAAAGCTGATTGGCAACGTACACCTTTTATTATTGCTTGGTATTAGACCACTGGTAGCCGCTCAGTGTCGAATTGACATCATTTCTTCTTCTATAGTGCATTTCATGTATATAAAAGGCATAAAGAACTCAATCTCTAATCATTAGGGCCATAAAACTGCCATTGCTGACTCCTAATATTCTCGTATATATAATTGGATAATCGTATTCGGCAGGCCAAAAACGACCAAAGTTTTGGGTAAAATTCTACTAATTTTTTTTAAACCCCGCCATATTGTCAATTTTTGATTTTTATTTTATCGTAGGTCATTGTACAGAGAATATGATCTAGTTTAACGAGAATTTTTGATATGTAGCTTTGCAGCTGAAAATCTGAAATTTCAGAATACCAAGCTCATATTTGGTTTCGTACAAAAGAAGCTGGATGTAGAAATTTTATACATTATTATCATATAAGTATTAAATATAAAACTTAAATTAACTTTCCTTTCATTTCAGCAATAAACTCAGCTAAGATCATCAGCAAAAGTTAAAGCGAGTCCTTCAACTTTACCTGAACACATCAATTTTATTCGGCTGAAATCGATACTAATAAGTTTCAATTATAAGCGCCTGAAAAACGGACAATTGATTATAATTGAATAAAAAAAGTTATAGAGAAGTTTAAAAAAAGTTAGAATGGCCCAACCAAATTCACAACTAAAAAATTTATTGAAAAGAGAATACTTCATTAATTTATATTAATATCAAGAAGCGAAAATGATTGAATAAATACCTTTCTCTCTCTCTATAAACGTAAGACTTCTTAAATAAACACATAAAGTAAAACAAGAAATTCAATACTTAAAGCGAAACAGCACCCTAGCACATCACATCACCAATCACATACATCAATATTATTGGCCCAACGATGAGATATGAATAGCTGGTTGTATGACAACACAATTAAAATCAGTATATGTATTAATGTTTGTGTTTGTAATACCAAGCGCGTGTTTAAATCGCCATCAGCGGGAAATCCTCGACTATGCCTGACAAAAAGCGTTAACCGGAAGCGTGGAATAGCCGAAAAGGAAAACAAATAAAATATAAAACCTTATAAAAATATTTCTAAGAAGTGTGGCTAAGGCAACAAAATAAATTTCTTATTATATGTAATATTAAATGTGCATTTCTGTGTGTGAGGCAATGTGCTTACCATTACCTTCATATATATTTGTTTGTATAAATGGTGAGCTAATATTACGAAAGGAGGTTTCAAAGCAAAACACACAGAGAAGAGTGAAAGTTCTTAACAATTCTATGGATTTATGCTGATTGCACGGGATTACTGGATAAATTGGAAAGGCTTCAATATGAATTCTGTGCAATTTTTTATCGCTGCGTTATTGGCAACTATCGGTAAGTGCGTGTTGATAGCTATTAAATACATATGTATATTTAAGTAACGAACAAAACACTGTATAAAACTTTAAAAGTTTATGTTCTTGATAACCACACTTCACAGCACATGTAGACACTGATAATAGATAATAACCTTTTCTAAACTATTTATGTATTTCCTAAGTTTTTTTACATATGCGAAGAGTTGAATTTAGACGAGTTTCAGCGTCAATCACTGCCTTAAGGTTTCAAATTATTAAATGCTGTGTTGATTTTTGGCAACTCAAATTTACCGGCTGCAAGTATATTCCTAATTGAAGTCTTCTTTATGACTAACAATTTGATAGTCAACTCATTACTTCTGTTTGATATTTGGAGCCGATTGAAGCTAATTGGAAATTCCAGGCTACCTGCTCTTTTCAACGTAGTAGAGGTTTTCCACTTCCTCTGCTTCCTGGTACTGCATCGAAAGCTTTAGAAGCTGAAATATTTTTATCCATCCAAACCACATAACTAAACGACCCTTATCCTCCATTTTTTTATCCAGTCTGGAACAAGTAAAATTCCAGGCGTGGTTGTTGATAGAACATTGCACTTTCTCTATTCAGCTCTGCAGATCTTATTATTTTCTACAGCAATTTCGTAGTAATTCGTTTGGTACCGAACGGCTTGGAGAGGTCCTTCCTACCCCTGACAGACCTTTTGGGGTTGCTTAACATCAGTACACATACTTTTGTTTTGTGAGGATACCAAGTAAAGACTTATCGACGTCGAGGTGGCTCCTTTTCGTGCTGTTGGAGGCTGCTTTAAAATATACGAAGAGGTGGTGGATATCGATCCTCCTTTCAGGGGTCTTTTCCAAGATTTGGCCCATGGTGAGTATATAGTCAATGGTTTATTTACCACGTCTAAAGCCACACTGATAATGTTCAATTCGTTTGTTGGCGGTGGGCTTCAGTCTTTTACGCATTACACTTGATACGACCTGCTATAATAAGGAGGCTTATCCGTCGAGCCTGCCTTCGTCCGACCAAATTTTGTATTATGCATACAGCTTATTAGTTCTTTACCAGTGTATTTGATTAGCTCTCCCGGTAGTCACGCAATGAAACATTTGGTACGTTGTCATTGATTTGAAAATCCTCCTGGAGTTTCACTTTTATTGTCGTTAAACAGGCTGCCGAGCTGCAGAAGTGCTTCTTCCATAAATGCAGTAAACTCTGAGCATAAGCTACTAAGTCGCCGTATATGCTCTTCATTCTCATTTATCTCAGCCTCTCTGTTTTTGGCTAGACATGCATCTTGCGTCCCTCTTCAATTCTCATTATCTATCCCACGCGGCACGTGTATTGGTCGATAGCCGCGCTCCACTGCAATACGACAATCCTCATCGTACCAGCAGTTTATAATACCTTCTCCACTACTAATAGTTTTGCTTCGTTGCGTACCACTGTTCTCGTATTGAGAGTGACTGATGAGTTGTCTCAGAAGGCAGAAAGGCATGTCGAGTAGAAAACTGTTCGTCTGCATGTTGCGATTGCTGAAATATTAATCACATATACGAGTGGAAGAAATATTTGTACAATACTTATTAAACAAAAATAAAAATATTATAAAAAAGTTGCGCACAGAAACTATAACAATATACCATAGTAAATAATCACATTTTCTATTCAACTTTATATACATACATATATAACCTGTAACAAGACTTATTAAATATTTGTTTTGTACTTTCCAATAATTTATGAATAAACATTTTGTACATATTTCATATGAGTTTAAAATTCCCCAGACTCCATTTAATGGCAATTATATTCTCAAATATATATTACGAACAGATATTTTTGGAAATTAAATACCTTTCAGTTCAAAATTTTCTTTATATCCTAATACGAGAAATAAATGCAAAAAATAAATATGTAAACGGCAATTTACAAATAAATTTATTACATTTATTGCTTTGAGGTCATACATTTTAGAAAATTATATGAGGTCTTAAGTGTTGACATAAAATTCTGTGTAAAAATTATTTCCTGAGTTTTGCTGAACCAAAATATAATTAAAAAATATATGTATGGATGCATTTACCAGCGAATCTAGCAAACTTTGTATCGCCCTAATTCCATGCCTTTTAAGTGAGTGATATTACAATAAAAAAATTCGATTAGGTTATCAGTGCGAGAACAAACCACAGAGACGGTTTTTCAACACGTTACTTTACTATGCAAAATTTTCAATTTTTATACACATTTTTGTTATATAATACAACGCATTTGTTAAGAAGTAACCTTTCCTTAACAAACTCTCTTCGGTATAGGAGTTTTCTAGCAAGCCGAACCATATATAGGATTTTATGAAATCGATCGGTGTCAAGTCCATTATTAGAAGCGAAAGAATTTAAAGCAAACTGAACATGTATAAATTTTAAAGAACTATTTCTAGCATTTAAACCTGAATGTAAAGCTACCAATCGAAATATTTTTAATTGCACCAAATCATAAAAAAGGTTTTTTTAAATAAATCAATCACTTTAAATTGTAGTGTTTTTGCTAACCCAAGTAAAAATCTACCCATGTAACGAATTTCAAATAAATCAAACCATAAACTTGTGGGTGTTAAAAGATAATAACCGATTCACATACCTCGCACATATGCACTCAAAATTTCCTAAAAATGAGTGTAAACCAGATATGCTAAAAAAACACAGCGAAAACATTCCGTTTCGCTTACAAGAAAATTTAATTCAACGAGATGGAATCGTTTCGTTTCGGCGCAGCAGGAAACATATTCCAAATTTAATTTATTTTACGCTTAACGTTATCTGTGAACGATTTAACAATATGACAGTTTTTCGTTTCGGAGAAAAATTATAGGAAATTTATGATGTCAATTGCTTTAACCTAAAATTTGTGGTTACTACGCACCATTGGTCTAAACGTAACAGTGGAGTTTGGTTACAAATACCATGACACGATAATATTATATTTTAAATTAATGCAGATAAATATTTAAATAGTCTATAATCATAATTTTATTTCTTTTATTCAGAAAAGTAAAAACAGAAAATGCAATCAATGGCAATAATAGTAAACCTACCGGTTTAGTTGTAAACAAATTTAACGCTGACTGTGCACATATATCAAGTTAGACTCTTTCAAAATACGAAATAATGCTTATGTAAAATGTACATAATTTTATTAATATTTAAATACAGCATAAATATCCTTATTTACTAGCAATATTATTTTCGAAAGAAAAAATTTATAAATTTTCAAAATAATAACTGAATTTCTATTATCATTCAATACAAACACAATTTATTGTTTAATAAATATTCAAAGTGCAACCGTTACCTTTGTGTTGCGAAACAAAAGCCTTGTGGCCAATATTGTTTATTTAATTTGTGACAAAACAAAAACATACCAGATGAGGATATACAAACTTTCTACTGAAGCATTAAAAAATCTATTATAATAAAAATAATATTGAGCGCTTAAAACTTTAATAAAATAACCGAACAGCTAAGCAATTAATTTAATGGAGTTCCCGCAAATTTGCAATGATCAAATACTTCATTTTGTACGAGTATATATAAATTTTGTATAGAATAGGGTGTCTGAATTAAAATAAAGTCTAAAAATGTAATAAAAAATTTAAAAAAGCTAAACAAAAACCATTTCAGACTGCATTTATTTAAGCTTACAAAAATAAATGCTGATAAGCTAAATTCAAAAAAAAAAAATTTTTTAGTTTTTATTACAGAGTTTACTGTGTCAAAGTTTAGATTTTGCTCAGGTCTTGAAACGTTCTCTCATTTTCAGTCTTTTTTTATAAAATTTTTCACAATTTCTGCTATCGACAACATTTTCAAGCTTTTCATAAACATTGTGAGCATCTAAAAGTACGACTCGCTTCGTATTTCAAGTCACGAGATCTCTTTCATTCCGTGCTTGTTGAGGTCGATTGTAACGTTACGAGGTTAACAGTTCTTTTTCACTTCACTACGGTGCGTTAATCCCAATTCCACATTTCGCTGTAGGCATGTTGCAGATGAATGCAGTCATAGAGATAGAGCGAAAGTCCTGTGAATAATCGTTCGGCTGTCTGCTCTGATTATTGCAGCATTTCGATGTCAAAACTTCTTTGTATGCATTGATGGGCATTCTTTTGGCTTTTCGATCTGGAGACAGTCACGAAGCAGTGAACTCTTTAACCAAATATGTATGTCTGTGTGGCTCCTCATAATGAATTCGTGACCGCAACTCTCACAAGCCTTGGCCAAGTTCCAAATTTTTTTTCAGCTTTCACTAAAATAAATTCGGCGAAATTCCGCTGAAATTAAAAGTCACCCTGTAAACACCAATTTGTATTCATTTGCCCATGCAGGTGTCTATGCTGCATGAATTAGTGCATATAAATACTTCATTATTAATTTTTTCCTACAAAATTTCTTTTTTGTCACCAAAGTTTTGCAAATTCATTTCAATTTGTAAAACATACGCGTTGTCATTGCACGATTTGTGGCTATGACAAATGATTGTTTTTCACCGTATGCGCACGTTTTCCCCAACCATTTAGTAGACAATATTTTGCAACTTTTTTCACTACCGCTAAAATAATTTTTTCCACTCTCGACCGACCTTAACAAGGCAATTTATTTGCTCATTATTGACAGGTTGTTAAAATTTTCGGGAATAAAAAGCGAGTTAAATTTGCAATGTATAAGTATGTGCATCTTTTCATTTATGAAGTTTTTGCCAAAAAAAACGGTATCATACATATTTCTATATACATTTTTTATATCACTCAGAGTTAGTTATTCTGTAGCAAATGTAGCCTGGGTTCAGCCAATTGCTAAGTGAAGGATCAATTTTGACAAAAGCAGGAATGCATTAGTTTCAGAGCGAGTTTTCGAGCAGATAATATTTGTATACATAGCTGGCTCTTCGTAACCAATGAAACGTTTTTCGATTTCCGCGCACCTCCTCTGATTTGTGGTGAGTGTGTTGATGTGT